TTATCACATCGAAAACAACATGTTATCTGTTTTATCGTCAGCGGTGGATGTCAGCGCTAGGATTTCGGTGCCAATGCAATTCAGTTCGTTTTAAAAAGTTGGTGACAGGTTACCAGTGCAACAATGAAAGTATGTTTTCGGTACTTTGGTTTCAGTCGACTGGCATCCGATGCACTTTATGATGACGCCGTCATAGCTAAGGACGAGATCAGCGCTTGTACAATCCCAGTCATCAGTGCAGCAGGGTTCGTCGTCAGTGACATCTATGTGGAATATACCTCAGATCTGACAACTTTTGACGATGAAATCGTCAGTAAAATGTTAGAGAACCGACCAGAACAGAAAGAAGGCAACGATTCAGAGGACGACGTGCCGGATGACTGTGTAAGTAACAGTAATCAGCGCGTGTCTCATGCAAGAACAAAGGAGTGTGTGAATGATCTGTATAGCTACAAATTTTTTCATGGGCTAGGCAACGATTTCTTGTCCAACTTGGACTTCATCAGTGCAAAAGTGACTGGAGTAGCAGCGAAAAATAATGTACAACTGCCGCTGGATTCTTTTCTCGGCAAAAAGATACATTAGTGCCAGTTTCTATACCTATCCAGGCAAGATGCTATATATTATAATTTTTAAACTTTTAAACTTTTAAACTTTTAAACTTCTAAATAAACGTCTTCTGTAGGTTTTAGTTAAAATTAGGTATTTTATCCTTCTTAGCACCTTACACTTCATTTGATATACGGTACAATAATTCAATGCTTATTTCCCTTTTGGGAAAAATGGCCATATGGGTTAAGTGCCCTTCCCCGCTTTATTGTCCACTTCTGTGATGTCCCGATGGTGGGCATTAAAGCGGGTTCGACTGTATATACCATTTTCCCTTAATATATGTGGTCAATATCACACAACAGTTCATCGCCATACAATCAAATGCCAATATCACCTTTCGCATCTTAGACAAAGGGGTAACGGAAAGCTGTAACTTGTCAGCCATACCCACATCGGCTAGACTGTTTTGGCAAAGCCTTTTACAAAGGTCCACAAATTTTTCAGAAATATTTTAGGATTAAGTCTGTCTGTATTTATGCACAAAGCCAGTAAAGGAAGTTACATTATTCGTCACAGCCAGACTCACAGACAGTCATCACACAGCCATAAAAACGCTAGATGGCCGTTTTGTTCTATTGGGAGTCGTCAGCAGCGCGCAACCGCCGAATCCTGCCAGATTCGAACACATGACTTTCTCTTATGGGTCAGCTACTTAAGCCACTGAGTCAAGAGTGATGGCGACAGACTACCACAACTGATATCTGAGCGCGATATAGCGCGGTTCATCCTCCACTGTAATGCATGTTGTGAAAGTGCAGAGGACAGAGCTGGCCCCCGGAGATACGACTTCCTTTGCAAGGCGACATCGATCGAGGTGGCATGTAAGCTACCAAGACAACTACTGATTATTGGTGAGTAGTGGGGAGCTTTGTGGTGTTTTGGAGGTTTGTCGTAGTCAGACTTAGTCACAACGTGCATGACAGGATGAGACGCGCTATATCGAAGTTAGACATTAGTTGTGATGGTCTGCCACCATCACACTTGACTCAGTGGCGTAAGTCCCCTACTCATATGTGAAAGTAATGGGTTCCAAGCTGGCAGAATTCAGCGGGCGAGTGCTACTGATGTGTCCCAAGTAAGCCGAAACGGCCGTCTATCGCTTTATCGAATGTGTGGCGCCTGTCTCCGAGTCCACCTGCTACGAATGTTCACAGAAACACAGTAAATCCCTTTTTACTTACTAATAATAGGTACACTGTTCAGGTGGCCTCTAATCAGTGAACTAGTTAAAGCTTCGGAAACTGATAAGATTCCTGTTATTTGCGAAATCATTACAGATTGATTCAAAGACATAACGTTGGTCTGCCCCTATATGGAATTGTCTCTCCCACAGTCGAGGAATAATCTAGTTATCTACTAAATCTCAGTTCCAATGACCATATCTATGGTACTTAGACATAACGATCGGAAGTGAAGTAACGGGTCCCATCAGCATTGTGGAATCACCAAACATACATCTTATTTCATCTCATTTCTTGATAAATTACAGCGTGATTCCCAAACACCAGGAAGTAGTGCAGTTCAGTTGACGCATAAACGTTGGTAAATCCATCGGGTAAAACATTGTTCAGTGAATCGTCATCCTCACTTTCCGTTCTTATTCGAAGCAACAGTGGGCATGTGGGCAAGCGAGAAGGGAGCGACGATTAGTAACTGAACAAAAAGAATGGGCATGAAACTCGGAGTCTGAAGAGTGTGAAAAACAACTACTTCAGTTTAAAGTAAGTGCCTTAACTTTAATGTCTGATCTCTTCCGGCTCACCGCTACTTAGATGGAAATTGACTCCATTGTTGAGTGGTTGACGAGAGATCCACAATATCTTGACTGATGTATGAAACAACTGACTGACAACATTTGTTTCCCTTATTTGGTGCCTAAAATTTCATGCCACTATTGATGTTCTCAGTTGTACTATGGCTTCTCATGCCGCACCATATCATGTTACACATAGGACGTTTTCAACGAAACTTGTTCATTCACAAAATCTATTCTTTGTTACTACCTACAATGTGATTTGCTTCGACAAATGTTTACCTGAACCGAATGAAAAATGGGGAATTGTTCCTTTTTTGAGCGATTGGAAATTTATCAAGGAGAGAATATGCCCGTACTTATTATCGACTGATATTTAAACTTGCGTTTAATTGCTGGTTTGTTTAGTTTATCAACTGATAATGGCATAACCCACCAGTTTTTGTTTTCTAGGTTGATAGCTTGGTTTGTTTTAAGCTATCGGTCGTTCCATTATGTTTTGAAATTATTGAGAATACCTGTAGCTCGGGATGTGGATGAAAAGATTGTCCTGTTCTCCGAGCTGGGCATTTCTGTTGCAGACGTTTCGTTACCAAACTAGGTAACATCTTCAGTGCAGCTATTTGGTGCTGATTCGCGGAGTCTCGCAAACCAATGCCAGATCTGAATGACTATTGATTGTTGCCTGCTTCGAATGTCAGCCTTCGATCGGTTCACGTGTCCGTCATGTGGGCACCTCTTCTCCTTGTCGATCTGGTGCCTAATGCTGGCTTAACCTGCAGAGCTTCATAGACACCCTCCAGCTCCAGGTATTTGTTGATTGAGTTCCGGCCAGAATGCCACGCCTCGAGGAACTCACGCGCTCTGCGGTTTCTTGCTCTTCCAAGTATTTCAACGTTCTCCAGATCGAACTGATGGTTCTCGGCATCCATGTGTACCGACATTAAGGATTTCTCATCGTGGCGGCGGATGGCCAGACTAGGTTCGTGCAGTCTTGTGCCAAGTTTTCTTCCAGTCTGGCCTACATAGTACTTCTCACAGTTCTTGCAGGAAATTTTATGTGTACATTGGTCGGACTTTATCAAAATGTTTGTATTGTCTATTATCGAGAGACAAACAAATCAGTAGGCATGAGTCAGGCTGTCTTGTCACTTTAATCCCAGTGTTGGGAAGATGGTTTAACTTCTTCGGTAGCCAAGTACCAGATAATCTTACTGAAGTAACTGTCTAAAGCTGTATAAACAGGTAGCTTTGCGAATGAATTGACAAAATGCATCCTGTGGAGTGCCCACTAAATAATCATTGATCCAACTGACACGTAACATGTCTTACAACTCCAAAGCATGTCCCGCTTCCAAGCGTGTTTCACAAGTGTAAAAGTAGAGTGCAGAAGGCTTTCAAGGGGTTGGGTTGAAGACCGTGTTATGGGAATTGCGGCTGGTTGGGAAGCTTATATAATCCCAGCCCGCCACAAAACTAAAACAATGCGTACATGAAATAAAAAGCTGTTGCTGGCATTTTGAGAGTTTGCCACAGCGATCTATGGCAAGGTCTTTGTGAATAGTTTATGGTGTAACTATGTGGATGTCTGAGATGGTATGTCTTGAACCACTGCCTAGGATAGATTATGAACACATATACTACGTTACATTAGACGTTTGGCTGAGGTTAGTCCATTACTCTGCAAAATTAGCTCTTTGTTTTCTTGCAGTTGATAAAAGAGTGATGAACAGACTATTTTATGATCCAATTTTGGTCCATTTGTTTCTCATTCTTTCAAATTTCTTTCCAGATCTGATGTCTGTGCTTTGATCCATAAGCTCACCACATTAGTGCACAGCCGACAAGGAGCTCGTAAAAAGACAAATTCAAACAAATACATTCGCTGTTTAGATCTATTACCCAGGTTTTTCTCCTTTTTCCTGTGTCGCGTTTGTCTAACACTCACAGGCAGTGTGATGTTTAATCTAACCTTTGTTGGTCCCCTGTAGTTCCCCTGTATCATCTTATTCTTTCGTTCTGTAAATCATGTTCGTCCTCCTTTGTTTCTTTGTTAACTGACACTACACAAGATGTTAATACACGTTAGGCTTACTTGCTCTCGTTCTCGACGAGATCGCAACTTAAATCTTGACTCATCTAACGCTGACCCCACCCTTTACGATTAGTACGCCGGTACTTTTAGGTCACCACAATCCGTTTGACACACGAAATCTGATCGAACCGTTTGTTTCCATCTACCCTTTTATGTTTGTAGGTCAGTACACTAGCGATCTAGCGCAGCCGCCTTGCTGCTATGGGTTTCCTTTCCTGTACACGTTCAAACGAAATCGGTGCTCGGTGCCCTAGGTAGGTAAAAGTAACTTTGCCCTAAGATTTATGACCAATTTTATAGGAATTAAATGGTAGTAATACAGCTGTAATCTCAGCACCATCAGAAAATAGAGCAGCTTGAAGCCGCAGTAGTTTTTTGATTCCTGTTAGGCTCTCATTGTAGCACAAATACAGCAAGGCTAGTTCCACGAGATAGCAACATCATCAGTCCCCTGAGTTAGTACAAGAATTTCGTCACATGAAGTTGTAACTTGTTATTAGTCACTATTTTTATAGTGAGCGTTTGAGTTGTTTGACTTACTTCTTCCTGCGCACATTCCAGTTTCTTTGTCAATGTTTCATTGTTGCACTGTGAATGTAGAATGCACTCTCCACTCACCCCTAGACGGTCGAGTTCCATTATATGGGAGGTTCCTGATCCCCGACCGGCTATCCATTGTGGTCGGAGAGGGTGTTCACATATATGTGTGCCCTGTTTTGTTGCCGTTTTCACAGTTAACATAGGTGATGACTCTTTACTTGTTCTCGAAGGGCTCCCAAATGTTTGTTGCGGCATGAAGTTAGTGGGAATGGCAACTGTCCTTCCATCCCCCCGACTCGGAAGTAACTCCTCTGTTGCATTCCATGGATTGGTACTAGGTTTAAAAACAGAGAGGAAATTGAAGCATTGTCTTCCTACAGCGACTGACAGGAGGATTACTGATACCATTGAACAGACACGATCTTTAGACGGACGGATGCGAACGAGACTACTAACCGATGGTTTTCAAGCTTCCCTAAACTAATGACTCCTAACTCTTTATCAGTATATTCTATGATTTGTGACTGCAGAATCTTAAACAGTTATTAATATTTTTCAATATGAGCAGTTTCAAGCTAACTTTCATAACAAGCTACCTCAGTGTGGAAAGTGTTGAAAAGGAATGCGGAGATTCCGTTTTCATTTTTTTCCCGCTACCGTGTAGGTATCATTGCGGCATCTAAGCGGATTCATAAAAATCACATTAACAACATGTTATGTAAAATTTTTGAAAGCCGAAAATGTCTTACACTACCAGTAATAAAAGAATCAGTTTCGCAAAACTGAGACAAACCAGACACCAGTAAATTTATTGCCCAAGCGTCATAAGCGAAGTGCAGTTATTAAGTTTAGGTAAGACGGAGATAACTGGTAATGGATACGAGCTAACAAGACATTGGCGATCTGTAAAAATAGTCTAAGGTGAAGTCACTTATTATTATTATTATCACTATTATTATTATTTGTAGGTGAGCGGTTTGGCCATATGCTGTTATGTGATGTGCATTTCTTGCGAATTTTGTGGTTCGCATTAATCAAGATTCACAGTGGATCACGTCCATAATTACGCGGGAAACAGCAGAAGCGGTATCAACTTCTACTCAATAAATGCCAATCTAATTCCACACGATTTGTTTCAAAGCGAACCGTCTAGTGTCAAACAAAATAGAAAGGTATAAGCCCAAGATCTCAGCAGCGTCTTGGGTAGCGATACAAGATCGACCGAACATGGATCCATACTATACGGGTTCACTGATTATCTCACAACTTGTAGTTAGAATACGATGGAACATACTTGCCAACTGATAAAGGCAACGGACATTTCATCCGCATTTTGGGGTCATCATTTTACTCGTAAACCGAAGGTAAGAAAAACCTCAACTGTTGTGCCCCAATGCAAATCATTTAGATGATAGTAACTAAAACGAACAACTCTGAAACGAAACAAATGATATCGTTTTCTTTCAACTCTGTATAAGGGAGGAGGTACTGGAGCGGGAACAACTCAGCATTTCGCTACACAAATGTCACTGAAGTTAGCGAATAGCTATGAAAATAAGTGATAAATCATTGCTCATTGTTTCCGTCAAACTGGAAGCAGGTTGGTAGTTCGTCCTACCAACCTACTGATTGCGCGTGACAGTTGAATCAAAACAATAAACCATGATTTATCACGGGTAAAGAAGCAGTTGCTTGACAAGTCCCGTCGGGTGGCAGGGATAAAATCACAATATCCAGATTTGTGAGTAGTCTGTTTGAGCGTCTATCGAGCAATTGTGCCGCTGAATAACAGTAGTGTCAAATGAGGAAAGTTATAGCTGAGGTATTCCTTGAGAAAACTAATGACAAGAACACTTACTGAATGGTTGCGTTGGCCAGGAACCAAACGCTGGCCGCCCGCGAGGCAGGCAAGCATTCTACCACCGGAGCATCAGCAAATGATTGGACCGGAACCGATATTATCGATATGAAGCTTCCTAAAGCGTTCGACCGTTTAGATCACTGTATCCTTCTCCAAAAGTTGCAAGCCTTAGGTATTGGTGTACCACACTGTCTTCTTTAGCGGCTCCTGTAGGTGAGTCTGAATCTCACTGCCTGATCCTATTGAGGTGGACTGACGTGTTTCACAGGTTGGGATCATGCTGCCTCTTGGTCTTCATCAAAAATCATGCGCATGCCATCGCGTCGAATTTCCTGCTTTTGCCGGTGATATCAACATATGACGGATGGTTGGTAATCACGATGATCATGACCTATCACAATGGGACTTGAACCGTGCTTTTAGTTGGTCGAAAATGACCCTACTTCCGTTCAAGGCGGATAGGTTTAAAGGTGTACATATGCTTCACAAGTCTAACAACGCATACGTTGGGTGTCCGCAGCTTGAAGAATGAGTGACAGGTGCGTGACATTGGGGAGGGGGCCGGTAATTAAAGATAATCCTGGCTGTTCAGAGCAATCCATGGAGGTGTCCACAACCGGGAACCAACATCTTTGCTTCTTACGGAAGGTGTTTGATCGGTTCAAACCTTCCCACTTCCCGCAAATGATCAGTGTATACGTGGGACCTCATGTGGAGTACTCGATTAAAACCTGACACTCCTGATTAAAACGCGATCTAACTGCAGTGGATACCACACAGCGAAAGAAAACTAAAGACGTCAACTGCTTGATTTATCTGCTACATCAACTACGACTGAAAGTCATGAGACTGTACAGCAGGCGTTTTCGTCGTCTACGAGATGACTTCATTCTGACGTAACCGATTTTGAGAAAGCCACCACCTGAAACAGTCGCAACACTAAACTGAGGAGCCAACAGCTGAAGCTATGCACCCAAAGCAGAAGACTGGCATGTCGTCGGCAGTTTTTCGCTGAATTTGTCCACTGTGGAGTGCGCTTCCTAATTATTTTATTCATACACCCATGTTATCCATTTTTAAATCGACTCGATAATGCAATACATCGTTTGCACTACGTGATGTGAATCTCTGTCAGCGAGTGCCGACAAGACGCTAATAATCATTGTGTTCGCCAGACCAGCCAGCAGTTTATGCTACTGAGCCATAGGTGTCGGTGATGGGCCATCATAACTTGCAAGCTAAGCGGCATACAGCGCGACCCATCATCCACTGCTATGTAGATTGCTACGATTGCAGAGGGCAGTGGCTTGCTTCTAGAGCTCACAGCTTCCACTAAACAGTAGCCAGGTACGCACGGCTATGATGACTTTTTTGAACACTTATGAGCATGAGGATTTTTAATGAAATATAAACTGATTCGTCTCATTAGCTCACAAGTTAGATGGTACAACCACAAATCTGGAAAGGCGCCAAATGGCTGTTTCACATCATAGGGGTATTCTGAATTTTAGCTCGTGCAAATCAGTAACATACTAAGGCACAACTGGATAGCTGAAACCGTTCTCTGTTCCCCCAGCTTACTACTAACTCATGCTGATCATCTACGAGAACAAGTTCCGGGATTTTAAGGTCTGTAAAGGAATTCTATCTGGCCCTAGGGCCTTAATTAATTTAGGAATGCACAACTCACTTTCAACTTCTAGAGAGGACTTAGAGGAATTGTGCATTAAGCAGGGCGATCATTAATCGACAAAAACTGTTGTTTTTAAGCAAAATGCTGTTTTACTTCTGAAGTATGGTCGGCGACAACCTCTAGCCACTGAGACTTGTTGCAGGAGAAAAGCAAAACGTTTTTTCGATGATATCCGTGATTCTCATCCATGCTAAGCCATTCAAGGAGCATTATTTGATGTTCTTAAGGTTAAATCCTCCCATCCTCTGGAGTGGTGAGTTCTTCGCCAAACCCAATATGCAACCTGGAGCGATTCGGATGGGCCATCCAGGAAAGATATTCCGCTCAATTTTTTCTTTCGTCAAATTGCCTGCGTCAAGTTCACAAGGCTAGTATGGCCTTCATTATTAACTTAGGTCGATCTTCATGTTTGTTCGATTGATATCTGACACGCAACTTGTCCAACGGCATTTTATTCACTTGCAATAAAATCGTGCTATTGGTGTACCAAACCATAATGTCTCGGCAGTAGACGCTGCCATGGCACGACGAGCAGATTGTTTTACATATTTACCTGGGGATCAAAACTAAAGTACTTGCACACAATTTGCAGGATCTGACTTTAGTTAATCATCCTAAATAGTAGTTTATTCCGAGTAAAGTTCGGTTACTAATGCAAGGTGGATGACGCCGGATGGAAATTGCGCCGTAACATTGATCAGACATCGTTTAACACCATATCCATTCGCCAAATCAATTGTTTTCCCTGGTGTGAAAGCGGAATGCATTGATATGTCACTACAGCCTCACTTAATCAAGTAGCCGCATTTAATTGCAACAACCTAGTCTTGGCAGAATTTTAAAGATTTGCGGCTTCAGCTGAAGTAGGTTGCAAGCTGTTGACGCAGAAGGCAAATGCCCAGGTTACTAACATCTAAGTGCGATTTATGCTGGTGGCTAGCAGACCAGCGGAACGAAAGTGACTAGCTGCTAACTAACCGGAAGCCAATTAAGCACCGTTCATACTGGTTGACGATAATTTTTGGGTTGTGCGAACAGTTCATATTTGCTTTGGAGCAATGTAAGAGAAGCATGGCTTTATTCCACCCTCACTTGGAATGATCCGGACATCAACGAGCAAACAGTGGGCGCGGGATATCTTTCTCATGCAGTTGAATGGCAAGAAATAGCCAGTGCAAATAACGTGCAACAAACTAGTGATCCAGTTTTGTGTGTAGTATAAAGGGGTCCTTTTTTACTAATGGACTTTGACCGCTGACCATTTGTCGTTTTCCATCTTTGTATGGTTACACAGCACTTCTTAATGTGGAGTAATTCCGTTGAACAGATGAGTTAACCCGTACACGACAATGTTTATTCGCCTCTTCATTACCAAAGGTTGAGCGACAGACCAAATTTTAAATTTACTGCTCTGGGCCCGTGAAGTCACCGATATGGATCGAATGGAATTCCTAATGGGCACTCACCCCTACGTGTGTTATACTTCAGGCCGAATTTACACAGATAGAAACACATTACACTCATCGCGTTTCTGCAAGAAAATTGTAAAAACGTATCCTAAAACAACGGCACAATAGCCTATTTCTACGATTCAACAAACTCAAGCAAAGATTTGGCTTTAATCGACGTTGGCATTTAATTTGGCGTTGTCGTAGCATGCAATTGTCTGGGAAAAATGAGCAATTAGACTCTTTCCTTACTCCGGGTTAGCGTTCACACACTCAGCCCGAACACCCTGTGGACTTAAGATGGCATTTTCCCCGTCCAATAAAACAAAGTATAAAGAAAGGAAAAATTCCAAACGCTTCTGCTCTTCTCCAACATAACCCTAGATTCGCAAGCGATCTATTGCTACGCTGCCACTAACACTGCTGCGTCCAAGTCTCTGGTTTTCAGTCGAGTGTTTGGGCAGGGAACTTGAATGGAGCATTACCAGGTAATTTGGCATTACGACAGATGTCTAGTATCTACAGACCGCAGGTGCAAATGAGATTAAAAATAGATTACATTCATATCGAGATTTGGCAATTCACCCAAAAAACCATCATCATCATCGGTCGACACATATCTACATAATTCATGTCCTCCTAATAAACAGCTTTTTACATCCACCAACGCCCAGGTTTACCGAAAAAACTTTCCGAAATGCGCCTGTGTCAAGGACCGCGTCGTTATAACGGAGACATGGTTACGCTCCGACATAACTGACATACAGATCGCACTGCCAGGCATGTCCGTTGTTCGGCACGACCGACCCAACAAAGGTGATGGGGGTGGCTTTATACTTCCACAACGATCTCCAATGTGATCCCATAGGGGATCCGGTCAGCAAGGTACAAGTGTCTATTTGGTGCCGTCTACGTTTAAAAGGCTACGACACTTGCTTAGTGGCGGCGATTTCAGCCAGCTTTCCTCCACGCCCGAGATGGACTTCTGTCTGGCACCGCAATAACCAGGGTGATAAACACAACTTACAGTCACATTCTCAATACTGGCGATTTCAACATCCACGCTCTAAAATCCCAAGCAGCTCCCGGAGAACAGTTTAAGTCCGATCTACAAGAGTTTGTCTCCAATTATCTACTGAATAACCACATCAACACTTCAACCCGATTCAGAGAAAAAGATAAACCGTCTATACTGGATCGGATATTCACCAACGAAGAACTAGTGATCTAGAGGGTGATCATCGACGTCCACTTGGGCCGCAGCGAGCATGTAGTCCTACTCTTCGAAAACATTTACATTGCCGAATATCCCGTGGAAATTACTGACGCAACACGAGCGTATATACGCTACGACATATTAGCTCCACTAGGTAAGACAGCCAACTGGACCTTTCTGGCAGACAAGGCACCAGTTAATGCATGGGAACAATTCGTCAGCCAGTTTAGCTCTCTGACTGCTGAATCGCCAGCGACTAATACCTTCCGCCCGAGAAACGTGGTCTCGTTTCTGCGAAGCAGGACACGCAAATAAACAGCGGTGCGAAACTCAGCCTGGCATATATACAAACTCTTCCCGAGCAACG